ATTTGGTGGGCTGGACCCTGCCTCCCGGTTACCTGGCAGGGCATTCTGAGCAACTATGCCTTCTTTCTGGGCATTCCTTGATAAAGTACTAGTTCCATCCCTGAAAATACTCTTGAGTTCGGGCTAGCAAGACTCCTACAGGTATAAGAAATAACAAACTGCTTTCTTAATAACAGTTTAAATGAACAAGGGAAGGGCCAAATCAAATGATTATATCACAAACATCCAAGCAGCAGAGTGGTGTACCATTTTGTAGGACACAAATGATGTAGGAAACTTCAGCTGGGGTCCGGAAAACCAGAACAACCCAAGCAATCACAAGAGTCCAGCAAAGCAAGGTCGTTATTTGAGTTAGACAGCAAAAACTGACCAGTCAGGGACAGCAGACCAGACTCGGGGAATAACTGTGTCTTTGAACATTCATCTTGGTAAGTATTTACACCGATGACAAAATCAGGCTTCGGTACTTACGAAATGTCAGAAAAAAGTGTTATTAGCCCGTTTTTGTTGTTTCAAGGTCATTACACTTAGAATACAGTTGCCTGAAACATCTCAGACATTGACCTTGGATATGGCAGCATAAGAAAGATCCTGTTTGCTAGTGTTTGTATGTCTATATCTCACAAACGGGTGTGCAGATCCCAAAGAGTCCACTGGCAGGAAGAAGGCAGCTGCAAACTCGGGGCAGGCCCGAGGATGGAAATTAGAACACAGCATTTATCCACTTTTCCCATATTGATTTTAAGCATCAAAAGCGCCAAATAAATAAATAAGAGTTCATCTCTTTTTGACATTTCCTATGATTTTCCCCCATCTTTGTAAACTGTTTGCCCTCATGGTTAAGTTGTCACCCTGATACCCAACACCGAGTTCCTTCAAGTTAGTTTCATCATGTTGCTGTGGTAAAACACGTAGGAAAGCAACCAAGGGTAGACAGGGTTTTACTTTCCCTTAGACTTCCAGGTCACAGTCCATCCCTGAGGGAATCAGGGCAGTAACTCACACAGGGTCCTAGAGGAATGGTGTTTGTCGGCTTGCTCTCAGGCTCCCAGTCTGCTAGTTCTCTTATACAACTCAGAACTACTTGCCTAGGATTTTGCCACCCACCATGGGCTGGGCCTTGCTTGATCAATTAATGGTCAAGATAACTCCCGTAGACATGCCCATAGGCCAGGGAGGCTGATGTGGACAGTTCCTCTCTAGGCTGTGTCAAGTTGACAGTGCAGGCTGGCCAGGACAACCATGCTTCTGATTTCCTCCAGTGGTGGTGGTGGTGGGGGGGGGGGGCGGATAATTTTGCCATGCCTTTCCACAGGAGAGGTGCCAAGATACAGCTCCTTTCTGGACACTCCCATTCTATGCGTAGCAAGTCCTGCCAGAGAAACATAGGGAAACAGGAGCATATCAGGTTGTCTTCAAGGAATTCATGAATGTGGGGAGGAGGTGATACCTCTTTTTTTTTTCTTTTCCAACAGTTTTCCATTTCGCAAAGTAACCTCCAAGAGCTCAGGACCTCTTCACTTTCTTCCCCCTTTTGGCTGCCAGCTCCTCAGCTCATGCCTAAGTTCCTCAAGAATTCTGCCTCTTTCTCCCCTTTTTGCTATCACCTTATGGTCCCCATAGAAGATAAAAATCCTCCATGTGTAAACATTCATGACAGAACAGAGCCAGCCAGACCCTCGTGGAGGGAAAGGCGAGTGTGGACTATGCCAGGAGCGCTAGAAGGTCTATCTGCTGTGGGTCGCAGCCAGCGCCTGCTCCACCCCGTCTTCTCACCCACACTGTAACTGCTGCAGTGCCAGTGTGAAAGGGTTTACAGCTATCTCATTTAAAGTTGGGTATTTAATTTTGAGGGCAGTTGTCTGTTTTGTTGAGGGAAAATAAAGAGCCCACGTTTCATTTTAATAGTAGATTGAATTCTGTGAAATAGCATCAGAAGCTGAGATTAGCGAAACTGTGGCCTGTGTTGCAAGTAGTGGGCTGATGTGACCTTTCAGACCACATCTCGCTGATGAGTTGCAGATCTTTTTATCAGGAAAAGAAAGCCAAAACTCTCTCTCAGAGAGATGAGATCCCTTCTTTGTATCACCAGGGACAAAGCATTTCTATTTTTTTTTTTTCCTGCTCCATGTTCTGTTCATCTCAGATTGTCACATTGTAAAGGGCAAGGACCAGGCAGTGTTTGTGGGGCTTGAACTGTGGCAGGTGCAGTCATTGCAAATACTGCGTTAACAGTTCTGGTAAATAATATGTTGTCGTCTGCAATTTGCAGCTACATGGTTGACTTATAGGACTTTTGAATAATCTGTTTTGAGTTAAAGTTTTTAAAAGTCCTACAAGTCTGAGATTGGATTTCTCTACAGCCATCTTAAAATCTTGAAAAATATATATATATATATATATATATATATATATATATATGTTTTTAAATGACTAAATGGCATCCTTGAACCTGAGAAATGAGTCCCTATTGCATAGCACAATTGAACTTCTCTTTGCTGCTGACTTAGAAAATATTTAGTAGTTGTACCTGAGAATATTTCTTGCAGATATTTAGATCTTAGTAAACTGCCAGTCTACACTGAACTAATAAATCTCCTTATAGAAAGGAAAGAGTGTTTGTGGTCATATGCTCATGGTTGGGGTATTTCTATTAGGACACTGATGATATACATTTAATGTTTTGACCCGTGCATATGTATTTTAAAAACATGAATGTAGATAAAGTTTATACATCTTTATTATTCCAAATAGTTAATCATACTTTATCTTGTTATTTTAGTCTAAGGGAAAGCTTATGGATGGTTAAGGTTTGGAAACTGTAAACGGGGAAGATGAGCATGGTCCATGTGGTGAATTTTGCATGGTGTTCTCCGTGCTGGGCCGGTGGTACTGCAGGGGCGAGTCTGTCGCTCTCCACGCTCTTTCTGAATTGTTTTGTAGCTGTTAAGTTCGTAAGATAAACAAGTAAGAGAAATCAAGGAGCTAACACATTGTGTCACCAGGTTTAGTATTTCAAAACGATTGTGGAGAGAGCTGCCCTGAGAAGCTTATTGCGAGTCTAGTTTTGTACGAAGACCTATAGCTACTGTACAGCAACTGGTGACTAAGTTAATTTCCAGCTACGGGCTTGTTTCTTGCAAGAACATGCGTAGAAAGTTCACACAGATTAGTTGAAAGTTTCTTTCGAAAACAAATGTAAAAATGCATGTTTTAGAGTAACCCCTGGGAATGCAATGGGAGCCTACATTAAAGTGTATGTTTACTCAGTGAGCAGGTTGTCCTTAGTTGGTAAAGCAGTACATGTCACTGTAACAAAGGTGACCAGTCATGTTTTCAGATCATGCGCTGTTTGGCCTGTGCACTGTCCTTTCTCTTTGTCAGTCTGAGCCTGAGGGATGACACTGAGCAGGGCTCTGCATGTGTATTCAGGAAAGTGGCTTGCCATGTCAGAGCACAGAGGCAAGAGCCATGCCCTGGGCTGTCTCCTGAAAGGACTCTTCTTAGGATGATCTACACTCAACTGCTTGCTGGTTAGCGGCTATGGCGGGTGTCCCTGAAGTTGTGTGAGTCCCTTAGGAATGCCTCTCAGTGTTTCCATTCATCTGTCCCTCCTGAATTCCATGTGTTTGTTCATACTCCATTCACATGCCAAGACACCCATGAGGTGAGTCAGCATGTGCTCGGAGCTCGGACGAAGGAAAGGGCAACATGTGGTTCCACAGAGAAGAAAGCCGGCCAGGCCAAGACTTAAATTAACACGCCCAGGTATTGTCCCGGGAGTGTGATGGGGCAGCAGGGAAGGATTCATTCCTGTGCATTCGATTTTTAATTTTGTTTTGAGATCATAAAAGGGCTAGAGACATCCTTAGAAGCCCATTAACTTATTGGTATGTCTTGATTCTTAGACGGATTCATGTGTTTGTTCAGACTTTTCAAATATATTCCCCAAGGGAGCAGAAACTTGGTGTGGTGATTAGGGCTATATCTGAACTTTATTTCCTAAAGCAAAATTATAAATAAGATTAGAATTTTCACCTTTTAAAAATTCCTTTCAACCTGACGTCACTTGCAAATTGGCTTCAGCGTACGTGGCCTTTTTTGTAGGCAATGACCTTTCCCCTGTGCATTTCGATTTTGTTTTCTTTATTTCCACATCTCTGAGGTTCATTCTCACTGTCATTCCTGGGGTAGCCTGGGGTGACTAATCTAGGCTCATGTCTTCCTGTAGGCGATCCATCCTCGTCTGCCTTGCTGTGCACAGTGCTTCTGAAACCAGTTTATCCGAAAGCATTAATCTGTAGTTAATGCCCACCCCAACCCCATTGCAAGTATTGAGAGTGCTGAGGAAGGTGGGAATTGTGGCTGAGTTTACCTGTAAAGATAGCGCAGTCATTAGGAAATGAAATGTCACCATTGCTTTTACTGCAAGAAAGACTGCTGCTAGGCCAGAAACTTGGCGTGGCTCTAGGGATCAGAGTGCGCAAAGAGACACAACCCTTTCTCTTTTTCAGCTTACAGTCTCAGGGAAAGAATCCAGCAGCATAGAGCCCAGGCAGATCAAGTTTCGTGCTGAGTGTGAGCCTTCATTCACTAGAAACATCTGTTTATTAATTACCACAGCCAGGCTCCTGGAGGGAGGGAGCACTGGAGGGATGGAGGCACACAGTCCCTCAAGGACCGTTACAACCGTATCACTGCTGCAACCGTCTCGGTGATTTATACACTGCCTTTGCCGTATTCAGTGTATATTCATAGTGTTTATTGGACCAATAGATTGTTTTATATACTGCCTGTGCTGTGTTCTGTATATTTTCAGTGTATATTCATAGCATTATTTGGAAAAGTATATGAGCTTAGTGATTTTCTTTTAAAATACATGAAAGTAAAATGACAGCAGGCTCACATTCATTCCCCTCGGCAACATTGTTTAATTGTAAGCAGTGTAGCTGCTCTGCCTGACATGATGGCCTTCTTATCATCTGCATCGTTTCTTGCAGTAATTGCCAGTTTTCGAGGCACCGTCCCATATGGCCTGTCGTTGGAAATTGGAGACACTGTTCAGATCCTGGAGAAGTGCGATGGTGAGTAGCCCATGGTGACCGCTCGGAGCTCTAGGAAAAGCCCTCTTATTCCACGACTCTGCAGGACACCTCAGAGTTCTGTGTGCTCACTTCAGAAAATTGTCCAGTAGTTAAGGCAAACTATATTTGACAAAACTTGTTCCGTACATAGTTAATGTGTGATTATGGGAAAACAACAAACATTAAATTGATTGTGCTTTTTCCTAACTTACCATCTTTTAGTCCTTACGTGGAGATGGCAGAGCACTGGAACATGCTCTGTTGGTAGGGATTCATGACTAACTCCCAGCCTTGAGGGTTCTCCTGAAACCCCAGGGATGAAAAAACTGAAGGGCAGGCTCAAAAATGGGGCACCTGAGGCTGAATGGCAAGACACTCAGAAAGGCAAGCCAGTTCCACTCCGTCCTGTTGATGTCTGTCTTCCCCAAACCTGGAATCTGAAATATTAGGAGACTTCATTGTCTGATCCTGTGTGATTATTATTAATTTATGTAGCAAGTAACTCATTAAAAATACCTAATCTGTTCTCAGATGCTCCCGCTCTTGTTCAGGTTCTACTCTGAAATTCTAGTGCTTGAAAGGATTCAAGATGAACTGGCAACATTTCTTAACAAAATGACTAGATTTTAGAATGTCATAAGTATATTAAAAAAAAACACATTTCCTTCCTAGAAGGCTTTCTTACTCTAGTGATTTATTATGTGATAATGTTCTATCTTACAAAGTTTCATCAGGCAATAAATTGTTTTTTGGACAAATGAAACTACTCCATTTAGTTGGAATCTGGCTTTAAGTGCTGATGATATGAGAATATTTATTTTGTCCACCGTAATTGACAAATCCAAAAGTATAATAAGGTTTCTTGTGTCATTACTGAATGCAATCTGTCTGTTTCTACTTGGTATATAAGTATAAAATTCTCCTTAAATTGTTGCCTAAAAACAGGGCGTGTATTTAATGAGATGTAGTAATCTAAACTTTTTTCTGCATGATGTAATTTTAATTTATACTGAGATCTGTCTGGCATTTATGAAATTGTCAGAACATTTTGGATTCTGTTAGAATAATTATTACAAATCAATACACGTCTTGGATCTTTTTTATGAGAAGCTAATGAACCCTGCAATATAGAGGTCCTCACTTCCAACTCAGTCTTTTTTAGTGGAGGTGCTGTTAAGATGGTTAGGTGTGTGTGTGTGTGTGTGTGTGTGTGTGTGTGTGTGTGTGTGTCTATCTTGTGAAGAAACAAAATAAATGTAATATACAACTCAAACATTTGCTTTCAAAAATTCAATCCGGTCAAAAAATTACATAGAATATTTCTACAGAGCAATATAATTTCCCATCAATAAGAAAAATGGCTTCTGCACTTACCGAAAAATGTACTTACATTTGTTTACATTGACAAAAAGGAGATGTATCCCTCAGGAGTGATACTGTGTTACTGTCTCTGGGTCATTCAGAGCTTCAGCCTTGCAGACGCTGTGGCAAGCTGTGCTGATCAAATAGTAGAGTGATGAAAACATACAAGCCCCAGTTGGGTGGCGGCTCTTAGGACACCAGGCTGCTCTGGTGACCTGTATGTGACTGTTCTGTTACAACACGTTAGCCAGGCACTGTTGCTCAGCTCAAACCTGTGCTTTCCATGAGTCAGCACTCATAGTGGCAATAAATCTGTGCATACACTTGCGGTTCCCATGGGCACGGTGGACTTTAATAAAATGGGGAGAAGCCAGGCTCAGGGAGGTAAAATAACGTCTCCAGATTAAAGAGTAAGCTGGACCTGGTGGAACATAACTGTAATTTCAGCATCTGGGAGTCTGACGAAGAGACTCTGAGTTCAAGGCCATCTTAGGCTACACAGATCCTATTATAAAATAAAATAAAACAAAATATAACTAGTAAGTTTCAGTGTATTTTTAAAATTTAAATCCTAAGCTTTTATTTATCCAAGCATTAATTATTTACATATTTATCTCCATGTTTACTAATTTCTGATACAACTTTAATAAAACAATATATTAATAGAATGCTTAAACTAGATCTGTTACCTAGCCTAATCCTAGAATCATTATATTTACGCATAGAATAGCCACATGAAGATTAAAATTCTAACATCAAAGAACATATCATTTGTTAATTGTTATCCTTAAATATTATCATGGTTTATGTATTAAAATGTAATCATGATTATTTTTCCCACAGGCTGGTACAGAGGATTTGCCTTAAAAAACCCCAATATCAAGGTAAAAACTGTTATTTCTGACTGTAATTATAGGATTTAAAAAATTATTTTGCTATACAATTGAAATTGGAGTTGGGCTCTTAATTAGGCTCGAGAAATGGTAATACAGATTTTCATAATCTGGGGAATTCCTTTGAACCTGGATTAAAGTAAAGGTGGTAAGATAGTGAAATCCTAATTCTCCATAACCCTTGAAAATTATACTGGGAACTGCTTAAGCTCTTTAGATATAAACAAAATCTTTTTGAAGTGCTGGTTTCCCAGAGAGGTAAATTAACTATCGGGCAGGGAAATATATTCTAAAGGAAATATGGAATAGTTGAATTTAATCTTTAACTTTCCCGTGTTATCATTTATAAGATGCTGGTGTGGAGGAACAAGTTTGTTGTAGTGTCTTGTTGAGGGTACCTTGGGTGATGGAGGCTGAACCAGGAACAAGGTATTTGTAAGTGTTTCTCTTTCTTGCCATTCCAGGAAGGTCTTAAGAGCCATTGTATGTGTAGAAACCCTTGGGAAGTAATGTGGCTTTCATCTTACCTTTCACCTGGGTAGTCTGTGACTTTATCATTGTCTTTACTCTGTGCCTTCTTCATGCATCTGGAGCTTGTGAACATGTTTGCATAGCCTACTGTTTTGTTTCTTTTTTAAATTCTGGTGTGTGTGTGTGTGTGTGTCCACATGCCCATGTAGTGTGCCACCTAGGTACTTCTCTCCTTCTGCCATGCTTTTCCCAGGGATCAAAGTCAGGCTGTCCGGCTTGACAGCAAATGCCCATCGTGCAGGCTTCTCTAATATTTCTAGTATGCCATTCCGTTGTTGTTGAATTCCAGCTCTGTTAAAACTGTGGATGGTAAATTGTATCACTTCTCATTTTCAAAATATGATCTAAATTCCTTTGCTTAAATGTAGCTTCTGCTAGAATGTCCAACTGTGTTTAATTACTTCATTTCATTATTTTAGATCCGTCACAAGGAAAGCCTAAGGGACAAATGAGCATATTAATTTAATTTCTTGATACTTTAGCCTTCATTTAATGTTTTTTTATTTTTGGACATCTGCAGGGCACATGCAAATATAGCTTTGATATTTAATTATCTAGACAAATTTCTGAAAAATTTATTATGATTTCTCTGTCACTTCCATCTCATCTCATAAATTTTGATTTAATTTTTTGTTTATTAATTTGCTTTATTTGTTAATTTTGCTGTATTGCTATAAATATACATTTTATTTAAAACATTCTCTTCCTATTTATTACTGTAGAATATATAGAATTGATCTCAGGTCTTGGCTACAAGCACCTTTAAACTCTAAGCCATCGGACTAGTCCAGTTTTTGTTTTTGATAATACCAGGAATTGAACCCATGGCTTCATGTATAACAGACAGGTGCTTTCTCACAGAGCTCTGTTGTAAGCTGGAATTCTTCATTGTAACATAGTTTTCAGCCTTGTCTGATGTTACATGTTTGTTCCCAGCACTGGGGAGACTGAGGTAAAACCATTGCTGAGTTCAAGGACAACCAACCTGGACTACTTAGTGAGTCCCTCACTGGTTGTCCTGCAGTGAGGCCATGTCTCAAAACAATAGCCAAGAAGAGCAACATTGTAGGTGGGACTTTTTCTTTTTCCTTTGTTAAACCACAGTTTTTATACAGAGTCACTGGTTGCTTTTTATTTTTGATTTATAAAGAACATACTTGTTTACCTAGGCAAAGTAGTGGCCCAGAGCTATAAATCATCTTTGAAAAAGCACATCTGGAAGGCTCAGTAAGTTTAAGGACAGCCTGGTTTACATGGTAAATTTCAGGTTAGACAAGGCTACCCTGCCAGACATTGTTGCAAAGATAAAGTAACTGAAACAAAAAGGATGCATTGCTGAGTGAGATCTGATTGTTTTCAGTTATACATAGAAAATCTCTAAGTGTGTAAAGTTGGTAATGGGGGGTTAGAAAATCAGGATTTATGCCACATTGCACTTTGCCCATAGAGTGTGCAGGTGCTTTGCTGCTCCTGATATTGTCATGGTTATAACTGCTTCATGCAAACCATTCATCAGACAGCTGGCCTCAAGAGACAGCTAAACCACAACCTTCATCTTTTATCTTCCAGGGTATATTTCCTTCCAGCTATGTTCACCTGAAAAATGCCTGCGTGAAGAACAAAGGGTAAGAAGGAATTGTGTTAATAGCTGGGAGGCTTTGCCACAGCGGCTGACTATCTAACTGAAAGTCCAAGATAGTCTTACAGAACGACAGATCAGTCCTTGGTCTTTGTTGTTTGATAAGGAGATAGGGAGGAGCAAATAGAGATAACTGGAGAACCCATTTCTGGGTGCAGAGCCATGGGTGCTCCTAGGGTACTATGTCTTTTTCATGGTCCGTCCATTCTGCAACTTGCTTAATCTGAGACAGGGAAACTGGTCCTTCCTGAGCCCCTGACATGGTGAGGCACGGAGCCTCCATGCCCAGGAACTGTTTTGGTGTACCACTGCTTCTAGGGAAATGAAGCCTGCGGCCAGCAGGATGTCAGGAGGTGGAGTGCTTGCTGAGAAAACCCAACAGCCTGAGCTCCACCTCTCGCTCTGGAAGCCACACAAAGGTAGAAGAAGAGAGCTGGCTGTGCAGAACTGTCCCCTAAGCACCACATGTGTGCCAACGGACATGCGTGACCTCAGCTCCTACACACACAATAATAACAGATTAAAAACAAAGCTGGGTGTGGTCGTTTATATTTAATCCCAGTATTCAGGACACAGAAACAAACAGGTCTCTGTCAGTTTGAGGCTAGCCTGATCTACACAGTGAATTCTAGGCCAGCCAGAGCCACAGGGTAAGGCTCTGGCTCAAAAGGATAAAAACAAGAAACGCATCTCTTCTCCAAAGTGAGCGTAATACTATTCTTGTGTGACTTTATATACTATTTTTCTATTTTACCTATGGTTCACATCCTGTCAGAGATCACCACAAATGTGGCCCAACAGAAAAATCATAAACTCACTTAATATCTATGCATTTTTTAAAAAGAACCCTTTATATGCATTTCAGCATAACATTAATTAATTAATCAATGAATTAATTAATTAATTGGTGTTTTTCAAGACAAGGTTTCTCTGTGTAGCCTTGGCTGTCCTAGACTCACTTTGCAGACCAGGCTGGCCTCGAACTCACAGCAATCTGCCTGTCTCTGCCTCCTGAGTGCTGGGATTAAAGGCATGCGCCACCATGCCTGGCTTCAGCATAAAATTTAAATATCTAGTTTTACAAAACAAAACATCTGACATGCCTGAATGATATTGGATGGACCTCATTGATCACTGAGGACTTCTTTGGTATTTAAAAACATGTTCCTGTCCTCTTCTGAACTGACTGGAAGCAGCTGTCAGGATGACATCAATCAAATGAGATGCCACAGTGGAACATGCCTGGTGCTGAGCAGTTAACACAAGTACGCAATCTGCTCTGAGGTAGGCTTTGACACATGTATTTGGTGCCAATGTCACAAGGCGTCATCTCTGAATTATAGTGTAATTTTCACTTGATGGCCAAAATATACAGGCTGTGTGAGAGAAATAGCAACTTTTTATTTGAACTTTAAAAGCACAATAAATAATATATTTAAATTTCATTTCACCAGAAAGTTTCCAGAGATATTATTCAAATGGATGATTTTCATTCACCTTCTGTAAACTGTTCAGTGAACAAACATCAGCCAGTCATTGAGAATTTATGCTAGAAATACATTGCATTTACCTAATTGGATAAATGCTAAAGAATCTAGGATACTAGTATGCTGTATGTCATATATGCCAATACTTGGGAAAACTTTAGTAATTTTTCAAGATAGCAGATTCCAAGTATAGTTTTAATCTGCTGGCGAGACTTTCCTCTGAAACTCTTGTTTCCCATCTTGAGCTTTTCATGTCCAACTTTGTTTCAGGTTTGCTTTCCTTTATAGTGATTCTGATTCTTTGTTAAATTCTACTTTCCTGTCTTAATTGTTTTCATCCAACTGTTGGTGTTGTCAGTCTTCATTCACATCCTGATTAGGGTCCTTGAACATCTCCATCGCTGTTATTTTGACGTGCTTGTCTTGTGCTCTGGTTGAGCTGCTTTTCCCAGACCTTCCAGGTTGCTGTCTTCTGGAGGAGGCGTTGACTTGGCCCACCCACCCCTTAAGTGTCCATCTGAACAGCTACCCACATCTTACTCCCTGCTGCCTCTCCCTGAAGCTGGTCTGACTTTCCTGCCTTTTATGCAGTGAGCCACCCAGACTCAGGGAGGGAATGGTGCTACTCACGCTTGAATTGGGTTTTCCTACCTCAATTAACATAGCACCCCCCCACACACACACACACACAAGACATAGCACAGGCTAACCTAATCTTGACAGTCCTCCATCAAGTCTCTCTTATCTTGAGTAACTCTAGTCTGTATCCTGCTGACAATTAACCAAGGCCATGCCAGGTGGCAACGGACATAGTTTTAAAATAGGTACATCCCCTTTTTGTTCTTCTTTTTTAATTTTTAAAAGTTTATCTTGTGTGTATGAGTGCTTGTCTGCATATATGCCTGTTCGCCACATGTGATCCTGGTGTCTCAGGTACCTGGAATTGGGGTCTGATGCCCTGAATTTGAAGTTATGGATGGCTGTGAACCACCATGTGGCTGCTGGGAACAGAACCTGTGTCCTGTATAATTGTAACCAGAGCTCTTAACTGTTGAGCCAAATCCTCATATATATGGCTATATATATATGTGTGTGTGTATGTATTCATCATTGTTTCCCTGCTGTACTCCATGAGTCTCAAGAAACTGTAAATGTGGATAAAGGGATTCCAAAATTTGGTGGTTTTGAGTTGAAGACTTACAGGCCTGACGGAGATTAAAGAGCACTGTGACCTCAGGGTAGACGGATTCTTTCCTAAAAAGGAGTTACTGCAGTTGCTCATGGACTCTACAGTGTGTAGGAGAAAAACTTTGTCCTGAAATTGTTCAAGGACACAGAACGCCAGCTGCTTGTTTTTCTGAGAGAAAGTGCTTCGGGTGGTTGGCATCACCCAACTTAAATTAACGTGATGGTCTGACTCCCTCCGAGGATGAAACTGATGTAACATTCATCCCAGAATAACTGAACAAAATATAATTTCAGACTGCTTACTTATGGTAGACTATTTCTATGCACTGAGGTGTTTATGTAATTAACAACAAAATTAACAAAAGAGCTGCCCTGCCTAAATGGTGTTTTGTGTTCACAGTTTGCATTTTGTTTGACAACCCCAAGGGAACTTTCCACATACTGAATAGACTGTGGTTCTTTCCGGGGTCTTCAGAGCAAAGTAGGGGCTATGGTAAGGGTCTTTAAATTAAACGAGAGTTCATGAATTGGGGAAGCTGCTTCTATGTTGTTTCATTCTTGCTGTTTAAAACCTCACTTTATTTATTTTTATTTTTATTTTTATTTTTATTTTTTGGTTTTTCAAGGCAGGATGTCTCTGTGTAGCCCTAGCTGTCCTGAAACTAGCTCTAGTTTAGGCTGGCCTCAAACTCAGAGATCCACCTGCCTCTGCCTTCCCAGTGCTGGGATTCAAGGTGTGTGCCACCACCGCCCAGCTGAGACCTTACTTTTAAAATGTTGAATGCAGCGGCAAGAGTTCCCGGGCATTTTTTATTTCCTCTTTGGCCTTGTGTAATATATCTTTGAATCCAAATATTCATCATTTAAATTGCAACAGCTGCTTCAAAAGCAGAGTAAATATTCTGCCTTTGGGAAGTGTCATGTGTAGGCTCTTTGAACAGTACTATTTCCTCCACAGGGCTTATAATACTGTTTACTTTCTTTCTAGTTCTAAACTCCAGTTTTACATTTTCAGCTTCACCTATGCCCTAGATTTAAAAAAAAGGGGGGTGGATATTTATGGACAGGACAGGTTTTTAGCAATGGTGAGAACTGAGGAGATGAAGCTCAAGTAAGGGAAGAATCAAGGCTTTAGTTTCTTCATTTATATTGCAAGGGTTTCCCCAAAGACAGTGGTTCACACATGGACATGATATCATAAAAGACCTGCAGAGCAGTCGGCATAGTTCTAAGAAGAAATCTTCCTTTTAATACGTTTAATAGGCAGTCTCCTTTTACAACATGAGCTGTTGGCTTCAGAAAGATAAACTTGAAATAAAGGAAATAGGTTCCCTTGATACTGCTGATTGCATTCTTCTGAGAGGCAGTAGTGAACCCATACAAAAGCGGAAGGGATTTGACAAAACAAACTAGAGATGAGAAAAGCTCCTTCTGTGCTAACCGCCTTACCAAAGGGCAAACTCAAGTCCCTGCTATATATCTCTTGGGACATTTCTCTTCAGGACAGCCATACATTCCTGACCAGTAATACTTGTTTCTGACATTAAAAGAAGAAACAGGAAGAGTCTATTAAGCACAGAGAGGAACATTCTGGAATGTGTGTCCTAATGTCTGTGACACCTTAAGCCTTGGCTGCGCTGCATGGTAGCAGTATTAATAATGTGCTATTTTTCATTGGCCTGTTCCAAATGATATAACTGAGGGGTTACTGAGCTCTAATGGATGCTCACTGACTGCTTGAGTTACGGGTTAGTTACAAGCTCACATTCCATATGTCCACGTGGCTCAACAGTATCTCTTTTACTCCTACTGAGCCCTCTGGTCCTAGCACCCAACCGGCAGAAATCACCTCATAGTTGATGTAGTTGGGTGATGTTGTGTGACAGATAAAAGCTGTTGAGGTTGGAGAGGTTAAAAGATGCACATTCTGGTGAAGCTGCCACAGAGAGGAACGCTGGTTTTCTTCCTTCTCCCTGCACTGTTTGGCCTTGACCCAGGCTAAGCGGCCTGTCCCTTATTCATTGTACTGCCCTCACCCATAGCCTTCCTCAGACACATAACCACATCCTGGCTGCTGACTGCCATGCCTCGAGTGGCTTGCTTTCCCACCTTACCTTCTTGAGTATTATAAAGAAAGTATTGTCTCTGATATATATGTTTTTGTCTCCCTAAATCCCACAGACAGTTTGAAATGGTTATTCCCACTGAAGACTCTGTCATCACAGAGATGACATCAACATTAAGAGACTGGGGAACCATGTGGAAACAACTCTATGTCGTAAGTGACTTCTAAAGAGCATGATTTTTATTTAGATAATTATCATAAGAAATATGTGCCGAGGAGGAATCATCAGCCAATCCTTGAGAGCTTGCTCCAAGTCCCGGGCCTTCTTGGGAAGTCAAGGGTACAGATCTTACTTAGTCATCATTGTTTTACTTTATAATCTTTGTCCTCATGGGGCATGGGTTTTACGCATTGTATTCCAATACCACAAGCATATAAAAGAGAGGGTTTGGGACATGTAACCAAATAGACTGTTCATATGGACCTAGTTTTGGATTTTCTGAATACTTTTAATTTCAAAGATGAAGAGCCTGGGTGGCACACACCTTTAATTATATCGCTGAGGAGGCAGAGGCAGGCAGAACTCTGTGAGTTTGAGGCCAGAATGGTCTACAAGGCTTCCAGGACTTCCAGGACACCCAGGGATCCACAAAGAAACCCTGTGTTGAAAAACAAAACAAAACAAGAAAAACAAGACAAAACAAAAAAACAACAGAAAAATCTATTCTCAATACAGGTTAGTGGTGCTGTATTTCAGCACATCATAGTTCTTTCTATAAGTAATTTGAGTAGATTATAAATGAAAGCTTAGCTAGAGTGAGAGAATGTATTTTCAATTCTTTACTAAGGAAAGGAGGGCAATTCTGTGAACAATAATGGGTTAGAGATATGTGTGTATTACCTTACCTATGGTAACTAATTACTTTGTTAGTTCTTATGTTGTCTGGCCCTATCCTTTTGCAGCTGGTGGTTTGGGAGCTTGCTAGAAAAATCCACAAGATACTTTCAGATCATAGAAGAGTTGCTGTGGTGTGCTCTTGTAAACTGATTGGACTTCCTTGGGGTTCTGTTCTGAGGCAGAGACAGGGAGACACAGATATGGCTGTTAGGGTGCATGCATGTGTGCATGTCTATGTGTATGCGATGTTTTAATTAGAAAAATTATAAACTCTAAGCATTATTGTATTAAATATAACGTAGTTAAGTATTCAAACTAGTGCATCTTTTAAATACTAACATGGTAATGTTATCTCTGTTGCACCTTGGATGTGTGTGTGGTTTGCGCGTGCGCACGTGTGCAGTACATCAGTGACCTGTTGTAGTTGAGCAAGGATTTCTCCCCCTGCTTCTTTTTTTTTTTTTTTTCTTTCTTTTTTTTTTTTTTTGCTAAGACTGCCAGCGAGGACCAAAGTTACTTTCTTACTTTTGTCTTGTGTACTTATTTTCCATGCTTTTGAGGTTATCCTCTCTGGGGCAGTCTTGGTTGGCTTAAAAAGCTACACAGAGCAAAATCTACAAGTGATATCTGTGGCCCCTGTCCTGAGTAATGGGAGGGGGCTGATTAGCCAGCATTGCCTCTGATACTGGAATAATAGTTATTTGAGGAGCAAATATGAAATTCAGCCCGGAGGTAGACTGACTTGCCACAAGAGTGCCATGATCATGTTGGGCTTTCTCTTTTCCTGGTTATAGTGGTGCGTTGGTTCATCATGCATTTGTGTGTCTAGAGCACTATCCATGCCCTCCCCAACAGTTTTAGAGCAAAGCACCAGCCTTTTCACTCAAACATGTTTGATGAAAGCAATAAGTTTTGTAGATTGCAGATAGTATATAAGGTAATGTATGTAGACATTTGGCATGGAATAGACTAGGACCTGCTTGAGAAACACTAGTTTGCTCTTTTTGGTTGTACTGGTAAGGGCTTAAATAATACCCTTTACAGAACCCCTTAATAAATTCAGCAGTGCAAGCAGGAAAAAAGGTGAGGCGAAGTGCAGCAGTCCTGGTGCAGACCCTGAGCTGGGTTTTACATCTCTGTTCCTGGCAGCTCTTTCAGGTGCTTTTCTTCTTGAATCTTACCAAAGATGATTTATCCCAAGTCCCACACTAAGCAGTAAAGCCAGAGTCAAACTCTGGATTTGCTGCCACCAAAACCCTTTCTGTTTTTATTTTAAACCAAATCAAACCTCAGCCATTCTCTAAAAATAAGAAACTACAATTCACTCTTGGCCACATGCCCAATATACTATGGGAATTCCTAAGTATTGTTTTAATACAGTTGTTTAATATTATAATATGCTCCTTTCATTTAATACCAAATTGAATGTAATTTTAACAAATTCAGTTTTGTTTTGTTTTGTTTTGTTTTTTTTTACAAAGTATAGTTTTATGACTGGATCATATACTTGGGTTTTTCATTGTTTTTACTTGGTTTGCTTCCCTGTTTGTTTGATAAGTGTTTACTGCGAAGCCCAGGCTGGCATGAATTCACGGCATTTCTTCTTCTTAGGCCTCTTGGTACTCATATTAAAGACAAGGGCGACCATGCCCAGCTCCTTTTCTTACAGTAACAGGGCACATCCTGTGGGATGTGGGAACATCCCTTCCACTTTCAGAGTTTCTTTCTTGAGGAAGAGCTGACCAGCCAGTTTTCAGTTTCATGAAAGGTTTTGCTTTCTTCTGTGTCATCATCCCCTTGTCAGTAGAGGTGATGAGTAAGATAAGTTCATCCTACTGAACAGTGTGAGCAGGTGCCTACCTTTATCCCTGTGATGGTTACGGTGCTCGCCTTTGCTGCCCAAGACCTGGCTTTTTATAACTCTCGTATGTAACTTATCCTCACTTGCTAGATTTTTCCTTCCTATCCAGACATCCTTAAATGTTTTTCGTCTTCTGCTTATTTGTTTGTGTGGCCTGAGCAGAGCCCGTTTCTGCGAGCGCGCACAAATAACCGTATAAATCGATGAGTTCGTTCACTCCCAGCTCTGGGAGCTCAGGCACAGCTGCTGTGGATGGAACAGACCCTGAGCAGTTAATTACAAGAGTATTGTGCTGTCGTGCCCTTGTAACGGTGCACAAGAGAGTGTATAGAATGAGGAGCAGTAATAAAAGACAGTGATAGAAAAGAGGCTCACGAGAGTGAGAAAGGAGTTGAGGGGAGAGGATGATTCAGGCCTGGGAGGAGCCAGACCTGACTTCCTGTTGAAAGCTTCCTGCCCTTCCAGCATACTTGTCAGACCTGTTCAGGACCTGATGGCCCCTTCAAACACCAGGTATCAACACAGCAGAAAACACATCACTGCATTTTAAATTACATATGTTTACCAATCACAAAAAACTATTTTCTAACTCTAGAGAATTTTTGGTGGCTAGTAACCTCAGTAACTTGACACTACTATTCACATGGATCAGTGGTTCTCTGTGGGTTGCGATCCCTTGAGTGCCATATGTCAGATATCCTGCGTGTCAGATATTTCCCTTGTGTTTCATAATAGTAGCAAAATGACAGTTACACAGTAGCAACAAAATAATCTTATGGTTGGGGAGTGGCCACAACATGAGGAGCTTTATTAAATGGTGGCAGCCTTGGGAAGGTTGAGAGCCTTGGATACAGACTATTAATAATATCTGTAGAAACGAGAAGTAGATCTCACGGCAAAGAAAGATGCGGGATAATTACCCAATATCTCTGTGGAGAGATGTCTATTTTTCGGTGTTGGTAAAGAGGCAGTATTTGTTGGGCGCTCACTGTGAACCATGCTGAATCATAATGGAACTCCAAACGTGAGTGCTTCTCTTCACACTCATCGAACTCCTTGTCTTCAGGGCAACTCCACAGTGGTTGGGCACTGTGCTTTTCTTTGCATACAAGGAAACACAGAGACTAATGAGTTGCTAGAGTGTTTTACACTAGAAGTGATACAGGTAGAAGTCACGTGATGGTCATCAGACTCCTATGTCAATGTGTTCACTTTGTGCCATTGTCACAGGTGTGGTCACAAACCCATAAAATATCATTGCAGAAAAACAGTATTGTTCAGTTTCACTGATGACTGAACTTGTACTCGAGGTTTTTGAGAGCAGTAAAGAAAGAGCAATATCTAGATTTGAACCCGTGGCTTTTATCCATTTTTCTTTCACCAAACCACAGGGGTTAATGGCTTTGACAGAGATTATAATGAAGCTGTGTGATCTCTTTAATTAAATAAGAAAGGGTCAATCTTTTTATGAGTCTGACTATTGATCAGATAATCATACTAAATACTGATCAGTGCTTGAATGTGAACACTCCCTGTATGTTCAAATTCAAGACTTGATGAAGAATTAGGACCAACCTTCAAGAAGCGGGGGCCAGTGTTTCCATGTCATTGGTTTTAGTTGCTTACAGCCATGACTCAGAAAAAAAGAACACGAGCTCAAGTAGTCAGGGAAAACTGTTTGAGAAGTTGAAGTCAGGCCATACCTTAAAGCAAATAGAGTTTAGGTAGAGCTAAGGAAGAAGCCAGTGGAGAGGAAATCGATGCTGTGAACTCAGGCAGGGACTAGGCCAAGCCCAGGTGTGGCACATTGAGAATAAGGATCACAGGGTTTTTGTGTTAGGGAGTTGAGCTGAGATGGCTTGGTCAGGAGAGTAGAGCTGTGGGGCTTGGGTGGCAAGACACAGAGCTGCAAGGCCCTCTGAGGACAAGGAAGTCGGGAAAGTTTACTGGTGGAGCATCTGTCTATACCATGGCAAGAACTTGGTCCTCTACACACTTTTGGTTACCTTCCATCTCAGCAAGAGGACTGACTGTTGAATCTCTGTGTCTACACATTCCATAGAGAAATGAAGGCGATCTCTTCCACCGCCTGTGGCACATCATGAATGAAATCCTGGATCTGCGGCGGCAGGTGTTAGTCGGCCATCTTACCCACGACAGGATGAAGGATGTGAAGCGCCACATTACTGCCCGCCTGGACTGGGGAAACGAGTGAGTATGGACAGGTGTAGGACACTGGAAGTAGCATGGGAGTGGCACCAGTTCTGCCAGGATGCGCTGATTCCACTAGGGGCATCACACAGGTCTCCTCATGCTTCCCCATTCTTTAATCTGGACCATTACGATGGAGCCAAAAAGCCACATCCTGTGGTTCTGGGGTGAGCATTGAGAGTTTTTTTCTTTGTATACCTGACAGTGTGACAGTGTACAAGCGGCCACAGGAAATAACGGTAGTTGTGGAGATAATTAATTAGATATGGCTTCTGACTAAAATGTTGCTTCTTATCCTGCAGTCATTAGGTTTGGTACATGTACTTGCTTTTATTGTATACGTCTTCTGTATCCTGGTGTAGCTCAGCAGTGTAATCCAGAGGGAAGCACCGATCTTACCCGTCTCCCCTAAATGTTTTATGATAAGCGCACAGCTGTGAGAAATCCTGTGCAGGCGTAATGGCCACTTTAAAGAGCTGCTTAGGAGCGCTCAGGTAAAGGCTGTCATTGACTGGGATTTACTTTTCAATAAAAATGGGATGGGGGGGGCTTGTTTAAAATAACAGCCAAGCACTTACATAATAAATCTACTTACTAGAAACTCCAGCCAAAGCTGATACCCTGTGAAATATGAATATTAATATATGAGTGGCCAAGTCGAAGGTGCCAGCCTTCTCGCTGCTTCTGTGCACAAAGCCCAAGACTACGGGGGTGGTATAGGCTCCCCTCTACCCTTCTTTCATTATATCAAGCTCCTGTTTGCGATTTGACCTTTCGTGGATCTTAGTGCAGGCTGTCAGGAGGTTGTGGAGGAGGAGAATGAATATGGGACATAAAAGAAGAAAACACCAGGAAGGAAACCACGAGGAATTTACTTCTTTCGGAATCTGGAAAATCCCATCTGGACGTAGAAAGTTGCTTCCCCTAAATATAGGAAGTAGCTTTCTCAGAAGCCATGGTTAATTTTACCAAAATGTTAAGTGAATACACAGATCTACTACCAGATTTTAATCCTCCATCTCACCCACAGTACTTGTGATATCTTACTGAATATGAAATGCCACTCAGCTTTTTACAGACAATAAAACACTCACATATGCCTAGAAGATTCATTCCTGTGAGAAATAAAAGCAGGAAGAACATTGAACTGGGGACTTCATTATTCTTTTTCTTTTGTGTGTATGTATGTGCACATGGTGACTAGAGGACAGTTGCAGGAGTTGGCTCCCTCTTTCCACCATGTAGGTCTTGAAGACTGAACTAGGGCCTCAGGATTGGTGGCAAGGCATTCACTGCCTTGTTTGTCACAGCCACCCAGATTCTCTGTCATGTGAGCGAGCTGAACTAGAAGTACGAAGGCTGCTTCAGCTCTGGGGTGATAAGACAGAAAACACATTGTACCTCCTCGCGGATTGCGTTTGCAGCCCTGGTGTTGATTTCTCCTTTGTGCATGCAGTAGTCTCGAGAGGCACAGCCCTCAAGGCTGTCACAGTCTGACTTGGTGTGGTCCTTAGTCTTTTTGTTTGTTTGTTTGGTTGGTTGATTTCTTTTCTCCCACACTTCCATATATATATGGAAAGAGAGAGAGCCCTGGTTGTCCTGGAACTCACGCTGCAGACCAGGCTGTCATCAAATTCAGAGATCCTCCTACCTCTACCTCCCAAGTGCTGGGATTAAAGATTTGTGAGACTGTGCCCGGCTCACTTGCTCCTTATTCTTATTCATAAAAATCCTCTGACTCTTTACTCAGTTATAATTGGTTACTGGTTTTATATATATATATATATATATATATATATATATATATATATATATATATATATATA